GTTTTTGACATAGTGTGTAGTGCATCTGTGTCATTAATGTGTAGTGTGTAACTCAGTTCTTGCCAAAAGTGGAGTAAGAACCGTGTCATTCTAAGGGCGTGACTAGTAAGTAAAATAAGAGGGGTGGGGTTGGGGGAGGGTGTAAACCTTAGTGAAACGTCCCTGATGTTTGAGAGCTCTCCGCAAACTCACAGGAGTAAAATAAAACAACGATTGCGGGCTGTTTAATAATTGAACCCATTGCTTTTATCGTAACCAAGCGTCATTAGAGAGCTATTGTGACTCATCGCAAATGTGCGCAGGTTACTTTTACGGCCCACAACAGTTTTAGAGCGCAACAGTGGGTTCCGTCCATCAGGAAGTCTCTTTATTCTCCACATCCACACTTAGGCTGTAGTCATCTAATCTTATCCCATTATATAAAACTTTTCATTTATCTATCTATCTATCTATCTATCTATCTATCTATCTATCTATCTATCTATCTATCGTCCTGAGTAAAATGTTGCCTCGACTCCCAAACAACGTGGTTAGTATCCACATTTTAGAGTCACTTTTGTGGGGAGGGCGACCCATCACACCCCTTTCCCACACAAATTGTAAGATCACGTAGCGGCAGATATGTACCTCCTAAAACAAAGAAGGAAAGATATAAAATAAGTTTTTTACCATCTAGCATAAGGCTTTTGTTAGAATGAGCAAGATGTGTGTTGCTCTTAGAGTATGTATCTGTATATAACTCCAAAGGTCTAGTATTTAAATTCCTGCATGTGGTTGAATGATGCATTTGATGTAAATGTACATTTTGTCAGCTTTACTTCTCCTTTTATATTGAATTTTAATGAGGGTAATATATATAATTAAAAATTTTAAAATGTATACCTGCATGTGTTTTTACGGTCCTGTACAGCCAAGGAAAATTTATCTCTGGGATAATAAAGTACTATCTTACCTTATCTTATCTTATCTGACCGGGACTAAGCCAAGTGGGCGGAGAGCTTTGAACCCCCCTCCCCACCAAAAGCAAACTTGAAGAAAGAACGTCCGAGGATGCCACCAACCAGGACCACCAACACCGATTTTTAGCATGATACCAACAGAGCTGTTCTATTAGACTGCAGCTTATCTGTTATTTTTCAGTCGCTAAATTACTTAGTAAGATTTTAACTAGAGTCTTAAAGGTCCCGAGTATAACACACAAAGCAGCAATAACACAAATGCAGAACGAGATTAAAAACCCCCGCAAAAGAACACGAACAAAAAGATTTACTTATTCACATTTAGCCCGGAATACACAAACCAAAGAAAGGCACACTCAAAAATCAAAGTGGCGGAGGTGCAAGAACGAGAAAAAACCTGGGAAGATGAGCGAGAGCCACAAGCAGCAGCAACAGCTGAACATATGCATAGCAAAAGTAACTATTATGAACGCAGCTGCGATGTCAGAAAGGCAAGAATAGAGGTTAGGAAAATACACGGGTCTTCTACTAGCTATCGCCAAGGCATTTTAACATGGGAAGAAAAGTTGATTCATCATCAGCATCATAACGTGCCAGATCTGAAACAGACATTAGTGATCAGGGCTCGTCACTCATTTCTCTGCATCGATATGCTCCACTCCCCTCCCCTTCTATATTATTCTGATCTTTCCCCTCACATATATGTTATAAAGGTTTTCCAAGGGAGTTGCTCTTAGTCCACCTGAACCTCTAAAGCCTTCTATTTTCTCAGTGAGTGCTTGATGTTCAAAGCCTTCACGTTGATTCGAGTGTCCTAGAAACCGCAGTTGTGTTTTCCCAAACAATTGTTTAAAAAACGTATTTATTAATGAGCTGCCCATGCGAGTATTTTTAAAAATTGCTATCTCATTTTATTATTTTTTTTCTTTCGTGAAATTCTCAAAAACAACAACAACAACAACAACAACAACAACAACAACAACAACAACAACAACAACAAAACCAAACAAAAACCCGACATTTCTGCTGCTTGTTTGATTTTTCCCTGAGCTTGGTAATTGTCCAACATTCATAGTCTCACAGAAGGGACCACACATAAACTTTTAGAACTCATCTTTTCGGATAAAAAATTTTTTGTTCTCAGGACTAGTTTTATTGAAATTGTCTTTAACTATTGCAATTCTTCGATTTATTTCCGTGACCATTTGCCACCGGATGTGATTACATATCCAAGATGTTTAAAATGTTTGAACTTGTATGACCTTTTTAACTTTGTCTTTGAGAATAATATAAATAGGATTTACTTATCTATGTTCTGTTTTCTTTACGTTCAGTAATAATCCTATACGTCTATTTCCGCAACAATAACATCTAAACACAATTGAATTTTAAAAAATGAATCTGCAATTTAAAGCCGGCATATTTCTGTTCACTGTGAGACCTGGGTCTTTTTCTATATTTCTAAGGAAAAATTGATCACTTTCTGAAAAACGATAGCTCACGATTATCAAGAGGCGAACGGAAAAAATGTAAGCTATTTCAGTGTTCGTTACCGAATCTCCTGGCATTAATTAAAATCCATTGGTTGAACTTCTTGTACAATGTGCTTCAGGTTTCTGATCCTATCAATATTATTTTCGACAGAAACTGTAACGCGACGCCATAAAGGCGAGTGGACACAAGCGAAATGTTAATTAAAGAATAAAAGTTTGTATGTGTGTAACAGAACGAAAGGTGAGGGGCAGAGGGGCTAGGTAGGAGTATCTACCATGTGAATAAGAATAAGAATAGATAAATAGACAGATAGACATATTACAGGTCGAGAGAAATAGGTTAATATTATGGCTAACAAGAAAAATTTACATATAGGGATTTATACACTTACACAATAACATAGTATGTTAACGCAAGGCAGAGTCGGAAGCCCACCTCCTATATTGATCTAAATGGTATCGATAGGGGCATTAAAACACCTGCACTAAAACAAGATAGAAGGATAGATAGATAGATAGATAGATAGATAGATAGATAGATAGATAGATAGATAGATAGATAGATAGATAGATAGATAGATCGGAGACACACACACACACACACACACACACACACACACATACACACACACACACACACACACACACACACACACATACACACACACACATACGCATACATGTACAGACAAGCAGAGAGAGAGAAAGAGAGAGACACAGAGAGAGACCGAGAGAGAGAGAGAGAGAGAA